CATAGTACGAGATCCTTGTGAGAACCATATGTGTCCGAATGGAGCAGCCTGTGAAGTAGTTCCTGGTTCGTGCACCCAGTACACATGTACTAATTGTCCAGCATGTTTTGGCGGTCAATACTGTTCAGAACGTAAGTTAATATCATTTTTAAGCACTATCTGCTTGTCCAAAAATAGTTAAAAATCTTATAATTTCGTTTTCATTTGTAATTACAATTTGTCTTTTTACCGCAAATTAATATTTTTTTTAAGAATAGCTGTATGAATGAATGAATCTGTGACAAGCTTAAAACATTGGAAATAAAATTTGAAAGATTACATTTTATTTATAAATAGGTTATGAAATTTGAACAAGAATATATTTTCTTCATCAAATTTGGAAGAAATATAATGCTCTTCCTATATTAATTATATTGGATGGTTTTGTTAAACATTGTAAAGATTATTGTAGTAAACATTCTGTAATGAGCGAAAAATTTAATGGTTTCATTGTTTGTGCTCTGTCCAGATTATCAAATTTTCTTTAACAAATAACTGTTCCATGGCCATATATAGTTATGACGTGCCTATATATGGTCATGATATGATGTCATCATGACCATATTTAGGCATATCACATGTTTTTGTTGAATAAAATTTTATAGTCTAGACAGGGCTTAAATGGAAGTTGATAAATTATTTGATCCTTTTTGAATGAACATGTCAAATTCAAGGCCTGTAAGGAGCTAAAAAATAAAATATAATACAAATAAAGAATGTTTATGAGTGCATTGGGGTAGAATATTTCATGAGGTGATGAAAGGTTGATGTTCTATTCAACAATGAGGCGTAGCCGAGTTGAATCCAGTCTTTCACCGAATGAAATATTCTACCCCATTGTACAAATGAGAAACATTCATTATTGGTTTTATACAACACCTAGCTGTATCTCTCCAGAAAACTGTTTTTCTAGTTCATGTTTTATGACACCTATAAAACCTACCCTAACATGTTTCTGTTTTCATTGCACTTGTCTTTGTTACAAATATTTTTGTAAAAAATATTGACTTTGAGAATCCGGTTAACTGCATATTTTATTGCCTTTTTTGTTGATTCGGCATAACTGTCATTCAGTAATTCCTCCAAACCTTCTTCGCTCAAAAGTTCAAACGACCCAGTACCAAGTGGACCTGCTATTTTATCGGCGGAGCAAAGGCTTACTGAATGACTAACTCCTTGTTGACATGCGGGTTGCCTAGGCTAGGCTAATTTTTCTCGATTTTTGTTGTCTTGGAGATGAAAAAATACTATTCAACGATTGTTGACTAGTAGTACTCAAATAACTATATAAATATTCATTTTAAATCAATCATGCATGACCTGTTTTCAACCAATCAAATTAGTAGAATATATATAGGTGTTGTATAAATTTCAAAATTTTGTATCTAAAAACTGAAAATCAGAATAAAAAAATCCCTTACCATTTAATAATGGACTTATAAATAAGGTTTTCTGTATTCTTTTGCCTAAATTAAATGGTAACCAATTTCAATAAAAGAGTTGTAGCTTCTTATTAAAATGTCTGTAAATCAACAAGGCCTATATTATTTTGGTCTTGGCTTTTTTGGAAGTTATAACGTAATTTGATTCTTTCCATGAACAATTCTGTTAATCAATTTTTAAAATTTGCATTTCCATTAGACAGCATGTTGAAATTAATTTTGGAGAGTTGTCACCATTTCACCTGCAAACAGTTTATTTAGGCTTACCATTTAACAAACCTACTATACTATGCTGACCTTAAAAATTTGACTGATTTCATAAACTTCATCTTTCAAGTTAACAACTCTATTGTTATGAAATTTCACACCCATAAAGCCACGGTTGATTAACTGTAGGGTTGTTGGTCCAAATTCATATCACAGACGCTATTCATCATATTTGTCAAGCTTAGTGCATCCTCTAGGAAATCTGCTTATACACTTTGAAAAAACTGTTTTTCTATTTCATGCTTCATGACACCTATACAACCTACCCTAACATGTTTCTGTTTTTATTGCACTTGTCTTTGTTACAAATATTTATGTAAAAAATATTGACTTTGAGAATCCGTGACAAGGTATATTATTTTTAACTGTCCTGGTAATTTGATATTGTAATATAAGGATTTTATTTAGTTTGATATTCAACTCCTCAAAAACTTTTGTTGTCTTTAATTATTGTAGATATTGAAATATTTTTCACTGTTTATTGCAGCTGTGGATGGATGCTCCAATCACAACTGTCAAAATGGAGCTGTTTGTACATCTGTTCCAGGGTCTTGTATGCAGTATTCCTGTCAGTGCACTGGTTGCTACACAGGACAGTTCTGTGATACTCGTAAGTGTTGTTACAACAAAATATAACACATGTATTGTTTGGTCTGTCAGCCTCACGCTGGTTTCCATTTCTAAATGTGAGGGCACTATACTACATTCCATCACCTTGATAGACTTATTTTAATGGTCTGCCTAGTTTTAAGGAATTTTTTGCAGGATTTCTGTTTTTGTTTAATTTGAAAACTGTAGTGTGGCAATAACCGAAATAATTTTATGCTATACATACCCTTACCTGATGCATACTCATTTTACTCAGCTTTTCCTAATTTAGATAACATGTTCATTTTTGCGGATTTTGTGCAATTGTACACCTTTCTACGAACTAAGAATTTAAGTTTATATGATATTTGTATTGTCTTTGTTTTGCAGCTTTTGATGGGTGTCAGAACAATATGTGTGAAAATGGCGGTCAATGCGTCCTTGTTCCAGGTTCGTGCACGTCATTTTCATGCATTTGCTCTTCATGCTTCACCGGAGCTCTTTGCCAAACTGGTAAGTGTACATTAGCTTAATATACACACACACACACATGCACCAAGGATCGCCAATAGAGAATATATCCCTGTCCTACTTGTAGGTGACCCTTTTCACAAATTAAACATACACACGTCCACGATGATTTACACAAACTAAATCTCAATATGAGGTTTAGGAGTGGAGTTGTTTTGGATGTGAGAAAAAATCCTGTAACACTGACACATGTATGCCAAGTTGGAGGTAGCTAGTGGCTTGAGATTTAACAGGAGATAACCCAATTGGCGTGGGTTGAGAGCCCGCCTAGGGCCTTGAAAAATTTTGGGCTTAGATGCTCCCTGCTGCACTCTGAATAGATCACTAGTGCTCAAGTCAAACCTTAAAAATGTGTAGCTAGAATAAGTATGATAGCATTTTCGATGATTCTAGGACTGATAAACTATAGAATTGCGATGGTTTCGATCATTATGATAAAAAGTTTGGGTTTAATAAAATAAAGCTTGAGATTAGTTTAAAAGCGTGAGATTTTAGGTGAGTGGCTTGAGAGCTTGAGGTTTGGTCGAAAAGCGTGAGGCTCACACTGGATGTGTGAGACTTGGTAGGTATGCTGACAGGAATTGAACCCAGGACACTGAGGTTTGGAAGGCAAACATCTTAACCACCAAGCTATTCAACTCTTCTCCTACTCATTGAGTAAACCGAAAAAAATGTTTATAAATGTATTATAGCCTTGTTGATAGGTAGTTTTTTTTTTTTTTATTTTAGCTATAAACCCATGTGATAATAACTTGTGCCAAAATGGTGGGATCTGTTCCCCTGTACCAGGATCCTGTACAGATTACACCTGTCTGTGCCTACAATGCTACTCTGGTAGCTTTTGTACTGAAGGTAAGCATGATCATCCTTATTATTTTGTATGCATTGACCAGCAATCTACACATACAGAAATATGTAAACAGTAAATAATTCAAATTCAAAAAAAAATATTCTGTGGAAAAGTGTTTATGAATACCATGCTAAATCGTATTAAATACAGTATATAAAGGTATGTATTTGTATTTTCGTTTTTGTTTTTGTTTTTTTTAAACAATTTTTGTGGTAAAGGGTGCTACTAAGTTTCATGTTTTTATGTGATTTTAAATTTATTGTTATTTTTTTTTTTTTGGTTTCAGTTTGCAGTGGTTTCTCTGTTTCCATAATTTATGCTTCTGATTAAAATATTCACTTAATATTGTTTTCATTTCTTAGCTGTTGATGCTTGTGTAAACCACAACTGTCTAAATGGTGGTACGTGTTCTCGTATTGCCAGCTCATGTACTACATACAACTGTGTTTGCCCGGACTGCTTTATGGGATCATTTTGTGAATTAGGTGAGAGTTCAAATAAGAAGTATATGACCATATTATCTTGAATAATTAAAAAATATATAACTTGATATATATTATATGTTATTTTTATTTTTTACCTCCGTCATCCACATCACATCCAGTTCTATGCGTAAGAATTCGTAAGGATTTCCCTATTATCCAACAAGGCCCTTCCAATAACCATCTTTTCACTGACCCCCCCCCCTTCTAGCACAACGTCATCTAGATGTGTATAAGAGACAGCCCCACCTCTTCTAGCACAACGTCACCCCCCGACCTCCGATCCATCTTATCCCCCTCCATGTTAACTGTGCCCCGACTTACAGCAGGCAACCATCTATGCAACAAGCCCTGCTGCCAAATCCTCATCACTGATCACACATATCAAAGTTGCTAACCACTCCATAAAATCTCCCAACCTCACATGAGATTCCCACAATATTCATCTGATAACATGCAACATATCATCACCGTTTTCACAAAGAGACACAAACTTCAATTTTGACGAAAACAAAGTTTTGAGAAAAATGCGTTGGAGGTGACTACTTCACAAATCCATAAATTTCACTTTTAAGATAACAGAATTTTGAATATTTTTTTACATATTTTTAAAGATAAAGCATTCAACAATCCAAATGTGTAACTTATTTTTCTTTTCTTAACTTTAATCAACCTGTTAATTAGCGTGAAAAGTTTGTGTCTGTTCATGAAAACGATCAGAATAAACACAGCATATGTTGTTTACACGTAGAGTGAAGCTTGTGTCTAGCGATTGCAACGTCGCACGCGTGTCTTTTAATAACCCAATGAAACCAACGGCTAATTAGCTTAATTAGCTAATTAGTGTAGTTCCACTCTTAAAAATTAGATGAAAAGGTAAAGTTTGATGTACATAATCAAAATGTCAAAAGAAAAAAAAATTGAAAAAATATGATTTTTTAAGTTTGTGTCACTTCGTGAAAACGGGGTTGATATGTAACAAAGCAACTACATTGTTGAAACCGTGAACCCTCTTAGATTCCGCATCAACCAACACAAACATGACATTAGGAAAAACGCTCATGACAACCGTAGCCCAACATTTATATTAGCCCCATCATTCTATTAACAATCTGTGTGTTTCCATTATCGACTCATCAGCACCTGCCTTTTAGAACTTTTCTGGATTATCAATCTTAAAACTCACACCCATAGCCTCATCAAAGATCTTGACTTTAGCTGACTTCACCTTTCACCTCTGAACTGTTTATTCTTGTCCTTACTTTCCCACCACTCTCATCTCTCAAATTTTTATTTATTTGTACACAGTTTATACCAACAGTTTATTTGCAATATACTTCTAGGCCTATGCAGTTTTAATTAGACTTTAAGTGTTGCTTTTGAGTCACTTCATTTGAACCCTTAGAGCAGGTGCTCCTGTAAATTTGATTGTTAATAATATCTATGCTTCAAAAGTCTACTTATTTTATATATATTGAAGCATACATGGATAGGATATTTTTTGATCATCACCAACATGTTATTATTTATTCCTCAGGTATAAATGCATGCTCTAATAATCAATGCCAAAATGGGGCTGCATGCGTAGCTACACCTGGTTCTTGCACTTCGTACACTTGCACCTGTCCAACATGTTTCAGCGGTCAGCTCTGTCAAGTTGGTAAGTATGAATAACTAGATTAATATTTCACATACTTCCAACTTATGATTGATTTTAAATTTGGTTTTCAAAAAAAGATTTAACTGTGCTATTACAATTTGATACTGATTTTCTTTTTGAACTGCGGTTAAACAAAGTATTAATTTCAATAGTACTAGTTTAAATTTGGATAATAGGCTTAGATTACACATTCCAACTTAAATCAAATATTTGTACATCATGATATAAAATATGTCCAATTGTATAATAACACATAAAAAATGTATTATTATTATTATTATTATTATTTATTCAGGCAAAAGATAGAGTATACAAAATATAAAATAGTCATTAGCTGTCAGGAAAGCACATTATTATATTATATTATATTATAAAATTATTATTATAATTATTATTATAATTTATAAATAATCATATTGTAGGACATATAAAAAACATATGTGTAGAGAGCTAAAATTTGGTTCTAATGTTCATAAATCAGCAAGAAAATCAACCATTTATCACATGGAATTGAGATTTTATGATTAATACTTAATACAAAAATTTGCTGTATTATGTCCGCATATTTAATTCTATTTTTCCAGCTTTCTTTCATCTTTTTTTTCTTTTTTTGCATTTGCTTTCTAGAAACAAGAGCATGTGATTCAAACGTGTGTCAGAATGGCGCCCTTTGTATGGCAATGGCCAATGACGTAACATGTTCAATATATATTTGTGTGTGTCCTATGTGTTATTCTGGTACTAAATGTGATATAGGTAAAGTAGACATTTGACTATTGAATATAATAACAGTACAGTACCATTCCTCTAAATCTGATTATTCTTAATCCGGTAATAGTTTTTTTTTTAAATGTTAAAGTTTCTTGTACATATTTTAAAATTATTAAAATTAAATAAATAAATAAATTAATTAATTATTAGTTAAATTCATTTTTAATATAGTAATGTTTGATGCTTCTGATGCTTTTACATAGATAAGTATAAGTTTTAGGATTTTATGATACCATTTTTAGTTTGTATAGGGTCTTACAAGGTCTGTACTCTCAACATGATTTTCTTCAGGTATAGTGCGATAGATGAATGTGATTATGTTACATGTTCACACCAGTGTTCCCAGACGTCATTTCTCTTATGATGTTGCGTAACAAGGCTTCCCTGGAATCTTACTACATATTTATTAAGACATGGAGTACTTAACTAAATCATTCTTAAAGCGGGAAATGTTAACAATGTTTTAACAAAGGTGTACAAAATGAGATTGCTTTTAATATTATTGGTATTATTGTTGTTAACAATATTATTTTTGTTTTATTATGCTTTTTTTGTTGTTATTATCATTATGGTGATCATTATAATCATGAAGCTTAAAATTATTATTATGCAAAATATTATATAAATCTATATATTGTGTGTTGCAGTGTCGGATGGGTGTACTGTCAATCCATGCCAGAATGGTGGTGCTTGCGTTGCTGTACAAGGTTCGTGTACGGCATACACGTGCACCTGCCCGAGTTGTTACATAGGATCAAGATGTGACTTAGGTGTGTTATCAAAGTTACTCATACAGAAATACCTTCCATAAAGATATACCGTTGTGGACAAAAGGCTCAATATTCATGCATTAATACAAAGCAGTTTTATTAATGATGCTTCATCAAATAATTGATAATCAATTTGATATTTTTTATTGCAATTTGTTTTAAATGGCAATGATACTAAATCATTAAATTATTAAATCATGTTAAACATTGATGAAATAGATTAAACGATGCTGCACAGTGATTGAAATAGATTAAACGATGCTACACAGTACTGTAATTGAAATAGATTGAACGATGCTACACAGTGATTGAAATAGATTAAATGATGCTGCAGAGTGATTAAGCTATGCTACAGAGTGATTGAAATAGATTACACCATTTAAACCATGCTACATAGTGATTGAAATAGATTAAACCTTGCTACACAGTGATTGAAATAGATTAAACCTTGCTACACATTGATTAACTATTGTACACATTGATTGAAATAGATTAAACCATGCTACATGGTGATTAAACCTTGCTAC